TTTACCTTCTATGGCTGTCACTGGAACTGAGAGCCGGCTTTAGCTCTGAGGCTCGGCTCCAGCTCTGAGACCTTGGCTGCTGAAAGCAGGTATCTGGTTTTGTTTGGCTTCTATAATTGAAACACTGTTGCAGCTCCAGCTCCCAACCCGGCTGGCTGAAAGCAGGTTTCTGGGGTCTGTTTAGCTTCTATAATTGCAGCATTGTTTCTTATTGAGTGCAGCTCAGAGGCCGGCAGCGGCAGGTGGGGAACCTTGGCTTCCTCCATCACTGGAGCAAGCAAGCCTCCTGTTTGCTTCAGCTGCCTGGCTGCCGGCCGCCATCTTGGTTGGCAGTTAATTTGCATACCTCCCTGATTAGCCAATGGGAAGCGTGTCGGAGGTATGGTCAATTTGCATCTTTCTCTTTTATTAGTGTAGATATGCCTATTCTTGTGTCAGTACTAGGCTGTTTTTGTTCTGAGGTGGGACTCTTGTAGACAGAATATAGTTGGATCATGGTTTTGTATCCATTCAGCTGCCCTATGCCTTTTGATTGGAGCATTTAATCCATTTACATTTAGGGTTATTATTGCCTGGTAATTATTTATTGCCATTTTAAATATATACTTTATTGCTATTTTTACAGAGAGGAAGGGAGAGGGATAGAGTTAGAAACATCGATGAGAGAGAAACATCAATCAGCTGCCTCCTTCCTGCACACCCCCTACTGGGGATGTGCCTGAAACCAAGGTACATGTCCTTGACCTGAATTAAACCAGGGACCCTTGAGTCTGAAGGCTGATGCTCTATCCATTGAGCCAAACTGGCTAGGGCTTTATTGCCATTTTAATTCTGCATGCCTAGGTTTCTCTTTATCTTCTTATTATAGCAATCCCTTTCGCATTTCTTTTTCTTTTCTTAATTTAAATTCTTTAGTGTGTAAGTTATTACATATATCTCCTTTTCCCCCCATTGACCTCTCCCCAGCTCTCCTATCCCCAGCACATACCCTCACCCCCTCCTGTCTGTGTCTATTGGTTATATGTATGCATACAAGTCGTTTGGTTGATGTCTTATCCGCCTCCCTCCCCTGCCAACTCTCTGAGGTTTGACAGTCTGTTTGATGCTTTTATGTTTATAGATCTGTTTTTTAAAATACTTTATTGATTTTTATAGGGAGGAAGAGAGAGGGATAGAGCTGTTTCCTGTACACCTCCTATTGGGGATGTCCCCGCAACCAAGGTACATGCCCTTGATTGGAATCGAGCCTCGGACCTTTCAGTCTGCAGGCCAGCATTCTATCCACTGAGCCAAACCAGTTAGGGGGCTGCAGATCTATTTTTGTTCATCAGTTTATGTTGTTCATTATATTCCACAAATGAGTGAGATCATGTGATATTTATCTTTCTCTTACTGGCTTATTTCGCTCAGCATAATGCTCTCCAGGTGCATCCATGCTGATGCAAATGGTAAGAGTTCTTTTTTTTTTTAAATTGTTTTATTGCTTAAAGTATTACAAAGGGTATTACATGTCTCCTTTTTCCCCCCGCCCTTGACAATCCCCTGGCCTCCCCTACCCCCCAGTGTCTTATGTCCATTGGTTATGCTTATATGCATGCCTATAATTCCTTTGGTTGATCTCTTACCTCCCCATTCTGCCCCCCTTTCCTCCCCGGCTTTCCTGCTGCAGTTTGACAGTCTGTTTGAGGCAGCTCTGCCTCTGTATCTATTTTTGTTCATAAGTTTATAATGGTCTTTATTATCCATGAATGAGTGAGATCATGTGGTATTTGTCCTTCATTGACTGGCTTATTTCACTTAGCATAATGCTCTCCAGTTCCATCCATGCTGTTGCAAATGGTAAGAGTTCCTTCTTTTTTACAGCAGCATAGTATTCCATCGTGTAGATGTACCACAGTTTTCTAATCCATTCATCTACTGATGGGCACTTAGGCTGTTTCCAGATCTTAGCTATGGTGAATTGTGCTTCTATAAACATATGGGTGCATGCAAGGCCGGCGTGCCCCCCTCCCTGCCCCCTCGCGGGGACTCAGGGAAGGGGTACCGGGGGCCTCCCACTTATTCTACACCTCTCATGTCTCTTCACCGTGCCAGACTAGAGTCAAGCTCAACAGGGTCTTCTTTCCCCACTGATTCCGCCAAGCCCATTCCCTTGGCTGTGGTTTCACTGGATAGTAGGTAGGGACAGTGGGAATCTTGTTCATCCATTCACATGTGCGTCTAATTAGATGATGAGGCATTTGGCTACTGTAGGAGAGTCATAGTTACTCCTGCCGTTTACCCGCGCTTCATTGAATTTCTTCACTTTGACATTCAGAGCACTGGGCAGAAATCACATTGCATCAACACCCGCCGCGGGCCTTCGCGAAAGAGTTCTTTTTTTACAGCAGCATAGTATGCCATTGTGCTGATGTACCACAGCTTTTTACTTATTATTTTTTAGTATTATTTTTAATAAATTTTTTATTAATTTCAGAGAGGAAGGGAGAGAGGGATAGAAGCATCAGTGATGATAGAGAATCACTAATTGGCTGCTTTCTGCATGCCCCCTGCACGTGCCATTGATTGGAATTGAACCTGGGACCTTTCAGTCTGCAGGTGGATGCTCTATCCACTGAGCCAAACTGGCTAGGGATACCACAATTTTTAAATCCACTCATCTGCTGATGGCCACTTAGGCTGTTTCCAACTCTTAGCTATTGTAAATTATGCTGCTATGAACATAGGGGTGCATATATTCTTTCTGATTGGTGTTTCTGATTTCTTGGAATATATTTCTAAAAGTGGGATTACTGGGTCAAATGGGAATTCCATTTTTATTTTTAATTTTTGATTTTTAAAAAAATATATTTTATTGTTTTTTTTACAGAGAGGAAGGGAGAGGGATAGAGAGTTAGAAACATTGATGAGAGAGAAAGATCCATCAGCTGCCTCCTGCACGCCCCCCACTGGGGATGCGCCTGCAACCAAGGTACATGCCCTTGACCGGAATCGAACCTGGGACCCTTTAGTCTGCAGGCCGACGCTCTATCCACTGAGCCAAACTGGTTTGGCAAGTTCCATTTTTAAATTTTTGAGGAAACCCATACTGTTTTCCACAGTGGCTGCACCAGTATCCATTCCCACCAGCAGTGCACCATGGTTCCTTTTTCTCCACATCCTCGCCAGCATTTGTCATTTGTTGATTTTTTTGTTGGTAGCCATTTCAGGTGTGAGATGATACCTCATTGTCATCTCTCGGATGATTAGTGACTTTGAGCATGTTTTCATATGTCTGTTGTTCTTTATGTCCACTTCCGAAAAGTGTCTATTTAGGTCTTTTGCCCCCTTTTGCATTTGCATTTCTTGTAATGCTGGCTTGGTGGCGATGTACACGTTTAGCCTTGTTTTTTTTTTTTTTTTTTGGTCTGGGGAGCTCTTTATTTGACCATTGATTTTGAATGATAGCTTTAATGGATATAGTAATCTTGGTTTCAGATGCTTGCTTTCCATTACCTTGAGTACGTCATGTCATTCCCATCTAGCCTGTGGAGTTTCTTATGAGAAATCAGGTGTCAGCCTTATGGGAACTCCTTTGTAGTTAACAGTTTGCTTTTCTCTTGCCTTTAAGATTCTCTCTTTGTCTTTTAAGTCTTGGCAATTTAATTATGTGTCTGGGCGTGGGCCTTTTTGGGTTCTTCTTGCTTTAGTTCTCTGTGCCTCCTGAACTTGTGTGACTTTTTCCTTTTCCAGGTTAGGGAAGTTTTCTGCATTATTTCTTCAAACATGTTCTATATCCATTTCTTCCTTTCTGCCTCTTCTGGCAGCTATTCTAATATTGTTACATTTCACTTTGTCCCACAGCTCACTTAAGCTATCCTCCTGTTTTTGTTTTAATATATTTTTATTGATTTTAGAGAGGAAGGAAGAGGGAGAGAGAGATAGAAACATCAATGATGAGAGAGAATCATGGATTGGCTGCCTCCCACAAGTCCTCCACTGGGCATCGAGCCCACAACCTGGGCATGTGCTCTTAACCGGAATCGAACCTGGGACACTTTATTTCACAGGCCGACACTCTGTCCACTGAGCCAAACTGGCTAGGGCAATCCTCCTGTTTTTTAATCATTTTTTCTTTTCTGATTGAGTGATATATTCAATTCTGTCTTCTAATTCACTGATTCGATCCTCATTTTCCCTTAATCTGCTGTCTATTCCTTCCAATGTTCTTTATTTGTGTTATGCCATTCTTTATTTCCAACTGTTCTTTTTTTCAGTTACTATATCTTTTTTCATGTTGTTGAGCATCTTTATCTTCATACTCTGAGCTCTGTTACAGATACATTTCTTATTTCTGCTTCATTTATCCCTTTTTCTGGAGAATTCTCTTGTTCTTTCATTTGGGGGTTGTTTCTTTGTCTCCTCATTTTAGCTATTTGTGACTATGTACTAGGTAGATACTCTACACCTCTCAATTTGTGGTGCAGGACAGTGTTAAATGTTGTTTCTGACTAATTAGATCAGGCAAAGACTCATTCTCCAGAGACAGCTTGTACCTACAGAAAGATAGGATTTGGACTTGACTTGTGGCCCCATGCAGTGGTCCTGAGGTATGGTGAGAATTTTTCAACGTGGTAGGGCAGTTGCTTCTGCCTGGAGGGTAACTGTTTTGTTTTATTTTTAATTTTTTTAGTTTCTTAAGTGGCCTCAGGGCAAGGTATTTTCCAATAGGGAATGTCCACTGTCTTCCCCCAAAACAAGGCAAATTTCTGTGTGGGACAGATGTCCTCTGCTGTGTGAGGGAATGACTCACCCCAGGAAAATGGGGATTTCTGCCTTCTGAGCTCTACCCTCTGAGCCCCCAATCCTGGCTTCTGCTCACACAGCTCCAGGCCACTCCACTCTCCCTCTGCCAGAGCACAAGGTGGGTGGCTCCACAGGGAATTTTTTGCATTGACCCTTTCAAGGGTGGCTTAATTTTCAGTTGTGCTCTGTACTAGGGGGTCCATCTTGGGGATTAGGTCCCAGAGTTCTCTGTGGCAACCCACCATAGCTGAGATATCTCTGTGGAACTTCAGTTGTTGTCTTCAGTTGCATGGCTGAGCCTGTTGTGCCTCACTTCTATGTACCAGAGTGGGCGCTTTCATGCATTTCTAGGCAATTGGCAGGCAGAGTATGGTATTGTGCCCACTTTATTTTTTTTTTAATTTAAAAAATTTTTTTAAATTAAATCTTTATTGCTCAGATTATTACATTTGTTCCTCTTTCCCCCCCCCA